GCCAGACCTTGAGGGACGTCTGCACTCATGGATACTGGAGCAGCGTGCCCAAGGTAGGGCGATGTCAACGGTGCAGCTGCGTCTCAAAGCGCAGGCGCTAGCTAAGGAGGTGGGCGCCGTTGATTTTGTTGGCGGGCCGTCCTGGTGCTCCAGATTTATGCGCCGCAAAGCGCTGGCGATGAGGGCCCGCACAAGCATGTGCCAGAATCTGCCAGCAGATTTCAAGGACAAGCTTGAAAGATTCCAGGCTTTCGTTAAGAAAGCCATTGAAGACGATGGCATCGGCAACAGCCATATAATAAACATGGACGAGGTGCCACTTACGTTTGACATTCCAATGGAAAGGAGTGTGGCACCGAAAGGTGACAAGTCTGTCACCATCAAAACTACCGGCCACGAAAAAGCGCACTTCACGGTTGTGCTGGCATGTTGCGCCGACGGGCAAAAACTTCCGCCAATGATTATATTCAAGCGGAAGACGATGCCGAAAGAGTCTTTCCCGCCTGGTGTCGTCATAGAAACGAACGTGAAAGGCTGGATGGACGAAGAGATGATGGGCAAGTGGCTTGAAAAATGCTTTTCTAAGCGACCGGACGGTTTCTTTCATGCGAAGAAGGGCCTCCTGGTATTGGATAGCATGCGGGCGCATATAACGGAGCTCACTTTGAAGCGCATCAAGGCAAAAAAACTGCACCGCTGCGGTTATCCCAGGCGGGATGAGAAAAATGCTTCAGCCGTTGGACATCTCGGTGAACCGCAGTTTCAAGGCTATTCTGCGGCGCCTGTGGGAGTCGTGGATGTCCGACGGCGAGCATAGCTATACCGCAACTGGACGCATGAGGCGTGCTTCGTTTTGCGAGGTCGCAAAGTGGGTGCGCGAAGCCTGGTGTGCGGTGTCACAGGCCACCGTAACTGCGGGGTTCCGCAAGGCAGGCCTGCTAGCATCCACAGCCCCTGGCCTCGACGACGACGACAGCAGCAGCAGCAGCGATTCCGAAGAGGAAACAGAGGAAGTCCCAGCGTCACTGCCGCCAGAGCTCGCTGAACTATTCCAAAGCGCGTCGGAGGACGAGGACTTTGAGGGCTTTGAGGAATAAAATGTTTTCCTGCAGTCGTGCGGAACGTTTCAGTGGGTGCGCATTATTTTTTCTCACAAGTTCGGTGTAGTACAAGTTTTCTTACGGACTGGCGGTCAGAAACGTAAGTACGGCATTTTACAATGCTCGCTCAACTGCACGTCATGAAGTTTCTTTGCGGAAAGTGAGTGAATGAAGGTGCGTCTTAGATATTAATTTTTGCATGAAAACTTGCGAAAACTGGGGGGTGCGTCTTATACACCGGAAAATACGGTACATCAACAGGCCCAGATGGCATTCCAATTATGCTGATAGAGACATTGGGTCCGTAGTCTAAACAGACTTTGAGAGAGGCAGTAAGCAGAACAATAATCGATGGTGAAGTCGCCTATGAATGGAAGCTTAGCAGGGTGAGCATGATCTATAAAGGTAAGGGGGACAAAGCTGACATCCGCAACTACCTCCTATAACACTGACATCAGTTGTCTACAGGTTGGCGATGCAGATTATAACGAAAAGACTGCAGGCATGGATAGAGGATGAGGGGTGCTGGGAGAACTGCAGAATGGGTTTCAGAAACACAGGAGGTTGGAAGACAATCTGTTCTCACCTACGCAGTGCATCGAAATAGCAGAAAGGGAACTAAGGCCCCTGTGGCTAGCATTTTTCAAGATCAAGGGTGCGTACGATAGCATAGTTTAAGAGGACTTGTGGGGAATACTGGACACACTAGGTGTGGAAGATGAAGTCACTAATCTTTTAAAGGAAATCTGTAAAAGTAAACGGCAGTTATAAAGAGGGAAAAACGGGTATCCAAGCCCACAGAGGCGAAACGGGGGCTTAGGCAGGGGTGTCCTCTGTCACCCTTGTTGTTCATGATGTACCTACAAAGATTAGAAGCCAAATTAAAGGGAAGAGGACTTGGCTTCAGCCTCTCTTTCGTAAAACAAAGAAAACTCATTGATCAGGCACTACCAGCATTAATGTACGCTGATGATGTAGTGCTAATGGCCAACAACAAGGAAGATTTGCAGAGATTGATGGACATCTGCGGTAATGAGGGAGATAGGTTAGATTTTAGATTCAGTAAGGAAAAATCAGCAGTCATGATTTTCAATGACAACGAAGGTAGTGAGCTTAGGATACAGGAGGTCACGCTTGAGATAACAGATGAATACAAATATCTGGGCTTATGGATAAGCATTGGGACCGAGTACCTAAGGGAACACAAAATATATGTGAACACTAAAGGTAACAGAAATGCAGCAGTGATGAAAAATAGGGCACTGTGGAATTACAATAGGCATGATGTTGTGAGAGGAATATGGAAAGGGGTCATGGTTCTTGGTCTAACTGACATGTGGAGAATTGGCATGATTAAGAAGTCTGCACAAGAGATATATCGAACTTTTAAGCAGGAAATAGCCAAAGAAAGAATCTATGATAACACTCGGTGTAGTTCTCTACTGTTTGAGGCCAGGACGGGAGTATTGCGAACCGAGACATATCGGGCCAAATACGAAGGGGTAGACACGGTATGCTTTGCATGTGGAGAGAAGGAGGATACTGCCAAACACTTGATAATGTTCTGTAAAGGGCTTCACCCTATAGTTCAGGATGATGGCGCAGAGTTTTTCAAAGCATTGGTGTTTAGAGACAGGGAGGGCAAAACAGACTTTAAGGGAGTAGAAATAACTAGAAGAAGGTTATCTGATTGGTGGCTAAAGTCAAGGCACGAGTGAAAACCCTTCACTGCAAAGTACCAGTCCTCAACTTCACTATTTAAAGGAAAAAAAAAAAAGATAAATCTTGTGGTTAGTTCACTAATTATACGGCTAGGTGGCGATAACCGCCGCCCGATTTAAAGGATACAGCCACATCCATCTATTCATCCATTCCTGTGCTCGCAAGGGGCAACGTCTGCTCCGAGCCTATTAGGACGTGTCCGGATCAATACGTGCCAATGTGACCATGCCACAGTGATGGGTAAATAGCCGAGACACTGCGTTGCACCTGAATGCAATGCGGGATATGTTTCGACCCGCAAACAAGGGAACAACGCGTCTCTCTTCTCTGCACCCGCTGACGATGAACAGCGCAAGGCTTAGGAGCACGCGATTCCTTGTGCTGACATACCACTGGCATTGTGTGCGAAGCTCATTTCGACGAAAGATTCATCGCTCATAGCTACAAGCATGTTATCAACGGGTTCTTAGCAACTTGAGAAAAAGCTGTACCTAAGGAGGATGGGTTCCTGAGGGAATCAACTGCCGAAGGATTCCGTGTCACTTTAACCAGCACCATTTCCATCCAGCACTATGTCACGAAAACCTTGGGCTATAAATAGTTGATGAGGTCTTGCCTCTGCCAAGACGTGCTTAAATTTTCTTTTTTTTTGACTACTGAAGCAAATGTCTGGCTCTAACAATCACCCTACGCCAACACAATTTTTGATCTCTGTGAATTGCCTCAGTTTTTACAGTTTGGCACAATCACCATCCAGTGTAAACATACCTTGTGGAGTTCTGAGCAGCCTTCTATGTCCGGGCATCCACAATAATTCAATAAAATTGCAGAATAAGCTGGATGAGCTGCTAGATGTGGGGCGCCTCAACGAGGTTCATGAAATGATTGTTGCTTGTGAAGCCCTTTTTTACCACACTGATCTTATTGGACGCAAAAGTGAATCCTGGATCACTTATTACGTCAGTGGTTATGTGGCCTGGAAGATTGTGAAAAAGACAATCTGCAACAATGTAGGAAGTTGTTGCTTGCTACATTGAATCATGCCTTCTGTACCCGTCCGAGTCCTTAACAGACCTGGTCAAAGCTATGGAAGATGCATTCACCTATTGCTTCAGTTTCAACAAGTTTAAAAGTGACAGCATAACAGACATTTTCTCTTGCCTCTCTGTGAAGAAGTTAAATATGGTGGGCTGTGAACACCACAAACTGGAAGTGACAAATCAGATAATTAGATTCTTTACACTGACCAGAATACATTTGCTTGTTGCTGGGGAAAATGTGCCCAATAAATGAGAGATAAAAAATGTTCTTGAAATTGAGACGTATGACTTAATTGTCATAGTGTTAACTCAGCAAACAAGGTTTTATTTATGTTATTGTGCATTACTCACACTGTGTTGTTTCTTGTGATTTTACTATTGTCTTGTTCACATTGTTACAAATCTGTACATGGGAGGTAGCAGTGTGCGATTCAGTTCCCTAACCGCTACCGGTGGCATAGGTGCCCAGGTGGGCTTCCAATTCGGCAGTGAGGGATTCCCATTAACAACAGTGATGTCACTGTCTAGCTGTGTTTCACATATGCAGGAATCAATTTTTTCGTGAAGTGGTTTGTGACTGTATCTATGTTTACGAACGAAATATTAATGTCATGTGTGTATGCATGCCCATTGTATCATCGTATATTTACTGTTCTTTTTGTTGCCTTATTCACTTGCTTTAGCAGAGTTTCGTATAACTTGCAGTTCTCTCCAACCTTAATGCATATGTTGTGTTTAATTTTCATGTTGTTTTTCATTTTCGTGAAAATAAATGGCATGCTTGTAAAATTAGACCTTAATTGCTCAAGTCATACAAATAACGGTTGCCGATACCTTTGCGTGCATTGAGACTTCACGGAGAACACTGCGGCATCAAAGTGAAAACTGCACGGACTTTGTTTTGTTGTCAAGCTACAATGATTGATGAGTGTGAGTTATATCCGTTACCATAGATGCTCTTTCATGCAGGTGCCAACAATAAATTGGTTTGTCTTATGCATACTTTTCCAATTGTTAAATGGAATATGTAAACCAGATCTATTCGGAGTTTTAGGAACTCCGAATAGTACAATTTCCTCAGTGCCAGTGACACAGACACTACATGTGTCTTTTGTGCACGATGAAATCTGACCAGGAATATTTGTTGCAGTTTATATAGAAGTGCTTATCCTTCTACATAAATGCTATAATAAATGATGTCATATACACTACACAAATAGCAATAGAGGTAATCAAAATGATATATAGCTACAACACAAGGGTGTATGTGTTTCTGATAACCAGATGAAAGCTTGGTTGCTGTGGTAAATACACGAGTGAGAATAATACTACATACATAATGCTGAAATTTGTGCACAAAGCAAGCCTCGAGCGATGTCCAATGTGTCATCTACATGATGATCTAGCCTTGTCACTGATTACAACAGAGCTTTGGGCAACAGGCCCACAAGCTTAGACCTCCAGAAGCAATGGCAGTATTTGTAGTCTTCCACTTGGGTCTTGAACCAGCCAAAAGGATAGATGGTGAAAATTAGAGCCAGGACAGCTCTGTCTAGGGTCATAATAGGGTAAAACCAGAGAATGACACTCAGTGCGACCAAACTGGGGTGCCTCATGTGTTGCAAAAAGTGCTCCAACTGCGATGACTTTGAGCTGTTGTACGTGCTGCTCTCTGCGCCGCTCCAAACCTATAAAAAGAAATAAAAGAGAGACATTGGCAGCTGTACAAGAGCTACAAATCTCAGGTTAAGGTAAGTAGTGTTGAGCATGTAACTAGCATAAAGAAATGACAATCATGCTACTGCCAAATGTGAGTGTAGCTGTGTACGTGCATTCATTTGGTGATGTGTTGAGGCAAATAAGAGAAAGAAGAGAGTACGTAAGAAAAAGGATGACACAAATGATGGCACTGTTGCTTCTATCTTCCTTTCCTTGTTATTACATTTTGTTGCATTTTCTTTCCACTATGCCAGGGGTTGCCACTGACTTGCTATTGAAGGTCGCCAAATGACAAGCGAAATGTCACCATTTTTCTTCAGATTTCGCCAGAAATGTCGCCACTGTACATACATAAGCCGTGCTTAGTGATCGAAATTTCAAATTATGTATAGCCCCATGTAGTATGGTACCATACATAAATCCTAAATTACACTGACGTTTTTCAATGCCAGTCACATCACCCGCTTCTCCAGGGAAGCACTAAAAAAAGGCATGCAAAACTAGCAGCCTCCCTGAATGCTAGCGCATCACAACACAAGTTTGTGATGATTTTAGTTGTAGTGAATACAGGATGAAGCAGTCGCTACAACAAGAGAAGGACATGATGCGTAGCCTTCCTGCAGATTTAGAGAATATTGCTGCAATGGAATCATGAGTCCGATAATTAAAAGACTTAATTACAAAGCAACGAACATAAATTGAAAACTACTGCGTAACCATCACAATGGCCACACCACGCTTTCAGTGTGATCATGCTTATATGCTACACATTCGTCTCACTGTAGTTTCTACACACATTCGTCTCACTGTAGTTTCTGAAGGCTAACCAAAGAAGCCAGACTTCTTGGTGCACCTGAAATGTATGTTAATAACAATTTTAAACTGAGCATAACAAATTAAGGGGTACTACAGCAGTGAAGAAGTCAACAAGCTATTCACGACACTTGGAGCTGCGGTCAGAGCATGTGGCCTAATCGTCAACTAGACCCTTCAGACGTGAAATTTGTAGACGCTTAAAGTTTTTAGAGCACTTAAAGGACATAGCATAGCACTACCACTTTGTGGTATGCGAAGAAGTCCAGTGGCCTAAATTGCTAGGAGGTTGCTAGCGGACACACCGGTGCGCCAGTGCCTCCAGGACCTAGGTGAATTAGGAGATACACACCAGAAATAAGACTGAGGAAGTAAATTGCGCGTAAAATGTGTCTTCTACTGGTGGCTGTAAAACTAGGAAGATTGAAAAAATGCTGTTACCCATTCATTCTGAAGACAATGAGTATAAGATGTATAACTCAGTCGACCAGTCGACACCTAAGCCAAAAATCGCCAAGAATTGGCCATGTGGCCAATCATAATTTTACATCGCCACGGGCCTCTTAAATTCGCCAATTTGGCGAAAAGTAGCCACCAGTGGAAATCCTGACCAGGGTCGCCACTGACTTTTGAGTGAAATTCGCTAAACAATGAGCAAAAAGTCGACATTTTTATTCCAATTTCGCCAAAAAAGTCGCCACTCTAGATATGTGTGGCTTGTCTAGCTATAACATTGATAATTATGCATAGCTCTGAGCAATACAGTACCATCCATAACCTCTCAATGATATTAGCGTTTTTTAATGCCAGTCAAATCGGTCACTTCACCATGGGAGCACAAAGAAAGGGCATGCATGCTCCAGCAGTGTTCCTGAATTCTAGTGCGATAAGAAAAAAATTATGATGGCTTCAGTTGTAGGAAATACAGGGGCAGTCGCTACAAGAAGGAAATGACGTGCGTAGCCCTGCTGCAGATTTAGAGAATTTCATTGAAGTAGAATTATGTGTCCGATAATGAAACAACTTAATATAAAACAGCGGAAATAAATTCGTAGGTATGGCCTAATCCTTGCAACATCCGCACCACACTTTCTGTGTGGTCTTGCTAACGCTGTAAATTCAGCTCAGTGCAGTTTCTGAAGTTCCTGAAGGCTACCTAAAGAACCCGATTTTTTGGCTCACCCAAGAAGTGCGTTAGTAACAAATTTAAATTTAATACGTACCAAACAATAGGGTACTACAGCAGTGGAGAAGTCGATGACTTATTCAGGACAGTTGGTGCTGTGGTCCAAACACACAGCCTAACTTTCATCTGGCTACTTCAGAAGCAAACTTTAAAGAAGCTTGAAGCTCTTAAAGGGACACTGAAGAGGTTTTGAATTCGCCAATTCATTGTGAATTCGGTATTCGCGATCTCTTACATTTGTACGGAGGTTTTCTTCACGAGGTTTGATTAAACAACGGCGCTACATGCGAGCAAACTTTGACATTAAAAAAAAATGGCAGCATATCCACGGAGTGAATGATGGAGAGTGGGGCAAAGCATTCGTCTGTCCATTCGTTCTTGCTTCCATGCGTCCGTCTGTGAGACCGTCCATGCATCCATCTGCCCGTCCGTGCGCGCGTCTGTTCGTGCGTCCGTCCATGCATCCACCCCTACGTCCGTTCATGCGTCCATCCATGCATCTGTCTGTGTGTCCGTTCGTCCATCTATTCAACACTCCAAGTACCACCATCTCACCACCATCCAGCGGACATTCCAAATACTAAACGAGAGCTGGCACACGCACACTTTCTTACGGCTTGCGCTTCGGGTCTACTTCCCACCTTTAACCACCTCGAGTTTGTAGTGCCATCATCATCATCATCATTTTTTCCATCACCGCGCCGCGTCTCTCGCGCAGCTGGCGCGAGCTCGAGCTGCGCGAGGATTAGAACGAGCTGACACGCCTGGCGTGGCGGACGCTGGTAGCCGACGTGGCTCCGCTTCAGGCCTTCGACGTCTTCTCACGTCTCCTCTTCTCTCGTCGCTACACTGGTGACCCGGAGAACACGCCCTTCGCCGAACGGCCCGCTGCCATGTTCCCGCAACTCTGCCCGCCAGTGCCGCCGTTCCAATCGACCTACCCCAAGGTATGGTTTATGCAGCTCGACGCCGTTCTTGCGGTGAATGGCATCACGGACCAGCTGCTGATGCACGCCATTCTTCTCGACGCCCTACCGGTAGAGTTGCGCCATCTCGCTGCCACTTCAAGCACCAGCCCGCAGCCTTACGATGCCCTCTGCACTGCGGTGCTCGCCCGCAGCGGCAACACATACCGTCCGCTTCCGTTTACCCGCACCAGGCAGGTTTCCCCGGCGTCGCAGAGCAAGGTACGAACCGGTCCGCAGCCCTCCATTGACCGCTACCTCGGTACCCCCGGCTTCGACTACTTCTACACCTGATCCGGTCGCAGAAACATCCACTCCTGCACCTGATCACGACCGCGAGGTAGAAGACTCCCCCACTGCGACTGACCTTCCCTCCGAAAGGTACATTCCCTCAGAGCCCCCGTGCAGAGCTTCATCACACGTACCTGCTACCTGCACGTTTTCCAAGAAAGCGACGGCACGCGACACCGTGACCCTCGCCGTTTCCGCGACCACCAGCTCAGACGTCTCGGCCTCCTCCTCGCCGCAGCTGCTGGTCAGCTCCTCGACGGTGCCCTCTACCACTCCGCCACCTGCCACTGGTGCCAGCAATGGCCTGCCGGGTGCCTCGCCACATTCCACTCGCACCTACCCGGCCAGCAGCCGACCACACTCGGCGTCCCCGCTCCCCGACCCTGTCCCTGTCTCTGTTTCGTGGTCTACGACGGGCCCCAGCGCCGTGCCTTCGCGGAGCCAGAGCCTGCCCTTAATGCTCACCCGCAATGGCCTCACGTACCAACCGCTTCCAGGGGCCCGCGACTTTGGGGTTGTCACTGCGTCGCAACGTGTGCTACCAACCGTGGCCCCACCAGACTCCATGATGGCCACCTTGCCGCCCGCCTCGGAGCCTGGCACAGGTGACCTTTCACCCGTTATTGACCTCCCGACTTCCTCTCGTCTGGCCACTAGCGACGCGTGTCCCGTGTACGAACTGCCTACACCATCTGTCGAGCCAACTGAACTATCTACGACATCTGTCGAGCCAACTGAACTGTCTTCGACCCCTGTCGAGCCAACTGAAGTGCCTACGACATCTGTTGAGCCAACTGAGCTGCCTACGACGTCTGACCAGCCAACTGAACTGTCTATGACGTCTGTCAAGTCAACCGACCTAACTACAACCACTGTGGAGCCAACTGAAAGCATGGGAACAAGCACTTCCACCAGTCCACCAGCGTCGAATACCTCGACAGTGACTGAGGCGACAACTGAACCCGTCTTTCCTGCACAGCCTCCCATGACGCCATTTCCTGTGGTCCGCGTATTCGGCACGGCGACGAACGAGTCGCAGCCGCTGCCTGCGGACGGCGTGTGTGACTACACCTTCTACGACGGCCTCTACGACACGGGCCCGTTTGACACGCTTTACAGCCCGCACTTTAGTGCACCAGTTGAGCACGTTCTCAGTCACGCGTCGCTTCACAGCGTCACTGAGTACGGCCTCTCTTTCGCCTACAGAAACGCATCACAAGTGGCGCGAGACCTCAAAATTCCAGAGGTGCTTTCCACGATTGAAGACCTCTGGGACCGAGCCATCCGTCATTACGGATTTCTTTCCATCGAGCGCTTACTTCTTCGTCCACTGCGCAACTCTCAGTGTCGCCCACCAGAGACCCACTGGTTCCCGATGGTCACTACACGTTGACAAACTGGACTTGCCAAAGGAACACTTTATGGACTGCCGTTCATGTACATAGCATTTGTCGCCCTCTTTCATTTTTTCATATGCGTTCAAATCGCGCAAAGCGCTAGGGGGGGAGCCCTGTAGTGCCATCATCATCATCATCATTTTTTCCATCACCGCGCCGCGTCTCTCGCGCAGCTGGCGCGAGCTCGAGCTGCGCGAGGATTAAAACGAGCTGACACGCCTGGCGTGGCGGACGCTGGTAGCCGACGTGGCTCCGCTTCAGGCCTTCGACGTCTTCTCACGTCTCCTCTTCTCTCGTTGCTACAAGTTCATGGTATA